GAAAAGCTTTTCTCCCCCCGCAGCCGGTGGGCTGGCGGGTCGCAGCGTCCGATTTGGGGCGTTTCGGGCCGATCCGGGAGGCTGATTTGCAGCCGAAAGCTCCGGCTGTCTTTTGTGCTGTGTTAGGACCTGATGCCTTTTTTAAGTCAAGGAAGGGAAAGGCTTGAAATTGCTTTAAAGCTCCTGGTTTTCGCCCAAGTTCTTCTCCAAGCACTTTGTGGCGGGCTGAGAACGAATCCCCCCGTCTCCGGGAAGAGAAATATGGCCGAAGCCTCTCCGCGCTTGGCCGCGACATCCCCGTAAAGCGCCAGCAGCCCTTCCGCTTGGAGCTTATTCCCCCTTGATCTCTCCCGCCTCATTTTGGCGGCGCTTCAGGAGGGTGGGAGGCAAAAACCGGCCTCGACCCCGGCCTGGCTGGGACGGGAGTGAGCCGAGCTGGCTCTCGCCGGGGTGAAACAAGCCCCGTTGGCCACCGTCCTGGAGCTCCGAGGGGTTTCGTTCACCTCCCGGACTCTCTGCTCTGGCCGCGCTCCGTGTTGCTTGCTCTAACGACCTCCCTTTCCGGAAGGGCTCGTTACAGGTTGACGCTCTTTTGCCGATTGACAGTATTAGCGGATCTCTCCTAGGAGCCGCCTTGGCCGTGGGTAGCCGCGACGGAGATTGGTCCAGCCCATCGGGGCGTCGTAACGGAGAGGCTTCAGCAATCTTGTACAGAGATTTTAATAAACCCATTGGGTTCTCCGGCTCGCTCCTCTCCCTTTATCCCTCTGCGCAACTCCGGAGAGAGCAGCCAGGCTCGCGACGCGTCCGTACCGGTTTGAACATCCGTGCCGGTGGCTAACGGCACCAGGAGGCGGCTTTAAGTCCTGTTCTGTTACCTCTCCCCTCCCGACTCCCTAATTCCCACCAGATTTTCCCCGCCTGAGGTGGCTGGAGTCGACACGCTGCGCGGGACAGCGGGAAGGAGCGCCGGGACGGAGCGTCGTTGCCTGATTCCCGCCTCCTCCTCGGCGTCTGTGCGGCCCTCGGGGCCCTCTCCGCCGTGTTTCTTTTCCGTTCCAGGGATGTTATCACTCTTCAGTGCCTCTCTTTTAACCGAAGCGGCTTCTAATAGTACACATATCTCAGGGAAAACAGTCGGAGACGGCGCAGGAGGCTCGGGGACCTCCTCCCCTTCCCTTTCCCGCCGTCGGCCCCTCCGGCGAAAGGTGGGAAGCGGATTTTAGGGGGACGAGAGGATGATGCGGGGCGGCGAGCCCGAGGGTAGATGGTTTTTGGCGCGAGGCTGAGCTTCGCGTCCCGCGTCGGTGACCGCGCGGGAGGCACGGGGGAGAGGCGAAGCGCCCAGCCGGCTGGGGAGGAGTTCGCGCCAGGGACGGAGGGTGTTTTGTCCCGGCGCGGGCCAACCTGGGGGCGGCCGGCACCTTCTTGTGATCCTTTTCCTTCCCTTCGCCACGTCCTGCTGAGGGTCTCCCAGGGCAGCGTCCCCTTCTCCAGGTTAATTGGGGTGGGGCCTCGTTACCGAAAAATAGTGTGTTATGACAACTGGGCAATAACAAAGAGGTGTCTGGAAACTTGAGGAGGTGCCTGGGCCTCCCACTTCCAGGGCTCGGGGTGGAGTTGATCCAAAAGCCCTCCGCGGAGTGGCCGCTATTTTTTTTTTTTTAAGTAACCTTTTTGAGTGGAAAAGCGAGAATATTTTTGGATGGTCCTGTTTTACGTTGGGCTTTTGGAGAAGCTGCGGAAGCGTGCCCCCGGCTTCCTTGGCGTTTGCTTCCTTTAGGGGTTGATTTAAGCCGGGGGAGGAAAGTGAAGAAGCGACCGTAAGGACGAGTCTGGCCCGTCGCCGCCTCCGTTGCTTCCTTTCAACTTCTCTCTCCTCCCCCTCCCCCCCGCCTCCGTTTTATTTGCGCGCGGCAGCGCTAACGTTGGAGGGTTTGGGTAATTATTTAATTTGTAAATAATGTACAAATTTTTAATAGCTTACTTGTATATACAGCGAAATAAAGATTGCATTAAAGCTTGGTGCTCTGGTTTCCTGTGTGGGGGTGGGGGAGTACTGACCCCGTGCCGGCCCGTCCCCAGTCCCCCTTGGGGCTTTGGGCCTTGGTCCTCCAGGCTCTTCCCTGGGCCTGGGTGTTAGAAGGGGCCCAGGAGCTGTGCCTGCTCTTGATCTCCCTTTCCCTAATGTTTCTATGGTTGCTAAAAAGCCAGGTGATGGCTGTTCTCTCTTTGCTGGCCGTCCATCTCTATGGTTGCCCAGTGAGAGCTGTGCCCTGCCCCCCTTGTCCCTAGGGCTGTCAAGGAGCCGTTTGGCCGCTCTGGTCTTTCTTTCCCCGAGTGCCTCTATGGTTGGTGAAGAGGCTGTGCCGGCGGCTCCCCTCTCCCCGTGTCTCTGTGGTTGCCAAGGAGCCTCTTGACCGCTCTGGTTTCTCTTCCCGGGCTTGTCTCTATGCTCCTGGAGCCTTTCCACCACCGAGACGCGGCAAGGAAAGCCGGAAGTCTCTTTTTT